TAGCAGCCATTTTTCTCCCCAATACATATACGTGTATACTATATTTACATCGCAGTGTTTCGCCTTACAAGCGGCTTATTACCGTTAGTGGTTGTCATTGCCAGTGGTTCTCATTGCCAGTGATGTCGTTGAGCTCCCTTCATGATGTCCTACGGCCACGGAAATGTCGTCTGGCCGAAGTACGACTATATGATTCCACAGAAAACTTTGCATAAATCCATCAAAGCATTTATTTTTGGGCATATAAAAAATAATGGCATGGAAAATCTATTTCTCATAAGCATTGATTGTTTATAGCCATAAGCTATTGATTTTTTATTGAGAGCGCCTATGTTTATTTCGTCATTACGATTTTCACGCACTTGCACCCTAGTTCGCACAAATACATACATATCTACAAGATGTATATATATATTTAATGTGCGAACGTACCCGTATTGCTAAATATTTTCGTCGTTAAGGGCGACAGGCACAACTCCAACTTTAGCGTTAAATGTTATCGACAATAATTAAATGTAAGTGCAATTTCTTTTGAGAATGCAAATTGATTTGCTTATCATTTCTGTTACGACTCTTTGGGGCACAATAAATTTTTATTGCAACATTTGAAGTATAGGAGGGTATTTGTTGTTCTCAGCCGTGCAAGGGTTTAACAAAATGAAAATATAGAATAAGTTGGAAATAATTGGGCTAAAGCACTCAAAATAATAATATTTTTGTTTTATAGATAAGCAAATACCGAGCAGTGTTTTCCAGCTCCAGTAGCTGGCTCTCCTGCTGATATGGACAGATTCAAGTTTCCTGATGGACAAGGTATTCGGTTTTATTTATCAATTATTCTGAAGAGGATCTCATTTGTTCTTTTATAACTGAATTGTCTATCTTATGTCTATCAATATGTCATCCGAAATGGGGAAAATGAATAAAAAATTAAAAGAAATACATACAATGAGCGAAAACCAATAGAAATTGAACTGAATGACCATTTTCAAATACACTCTCGCTGTAGAAGTTTTTGAACAATTTGCTGTCGAAAATGGCTTTCTGATCTCAGTGATCAACCTGAGAAAAACCCGTATTTATGTCACATATTTTTCAAAATAGATTAAACAGAATGTTTGAGTTGCAGAAATTATTAAATTTGATTTAAAATGTAATAATAATACAATTTTATTAGCTTTATATGTCTCTATATAACTTTATAGTACGCAATTGATTCAGAAAAACAGCCTGCCAGTTTTGTTGGCTCTAGCTCCTATACTCGTACTATCAAAGATCCATTGATATATATAGAGCAACTCTTCTAGTCAACTTCATAATACCCTTTTACCTATCGAGTGTAGAGTATAATGATGCCCATCCATTCAAACTCAACACGTGCACAATTTGTCTCCTTTCGCCATTTTTTTGCTCATGCATCTCGCACGTGCATTTTTTTTCAGAACTTTTACAAATTAAATTAAATATATTAATTAAATATTGTTGCATTTTTTCATTTATCAAGTACGACTTTGATTGCATCGGCGTCGCCAATGCGTTTCAACAATTTATTTGTGTTTGTTGTTTATTTTTATTGGTGGCTTTTTTGGTCGACATCGCGTCGCATCGCTACCAATTTTTACATGTGTGGTCATTTAATTGAATAATTATATAACTATATAAATAAAAATCATTTCTTTTTTATTCTCCCCTACAAATGTTGTTGTGGTTTTTGTTGTTCTTGCTTTTGTCGGCATTTTTCGCATAGCTTGTAAATCAATTTCCTGAACAACGACAGCATCCGTTTTGACCACGCGGCCAGGAAGCAGATATAACAAACGGCCAAAATGGCGAACCGCCTTGACAAGCTCAATAAAAATCATTTGGCTGCAAATCTGCGAAGAGTGCATGCGAAATGTTCACAAATCAGGTGGAAATTTTATATGCACAAGAAATCAAATAAATTAATGTTAAACTACAAACAAAAAATTGAATGTTATTGCTGTCACTTGGCGTTATTCGCGCTTTAAAGGCAAAAGAGGAATAATGTTTAATGCCAATTGATTTACATTGTCGGTGATGTCTGTTTAAATTTTGTTAATAACACTCCATGCGTCTGTTTTGAATTGAATTAGAATATTGCATTAATTTTTTAAAATGCTGTAGTTTCAGTTAATTGTTACTATTAGACAAAAACTGACAAATCATCAAACATTAAAGACAATGTTTTATTCAGTTCTATTACCTTATAATTGTTTTTTACACGAGAATTACAGAGAATTACATTACAGTGGACTTATATAGATTGATTTATATCAGATCAGTTGGGTTAAAAGAATTTTCCGTCATGAATATAATGCAATTATAATTTAAAAAGATAAAAATACTAATGTATTCTTAACTACTACACACATTTATTTGGGACTTACTTTTCAACGCCTATGTGCAAACTTTTTCAAATTTTTGTGCCGCCCAAGCTGTCTGAGCGAAAATGATTATCTATTAGAAGAACTTAGATATAAAAGTATACTATATATTGTTTCTTTTGCTGATTTACTCGCAGATATTTTGCTGACCAGCTATTAATGAAAACAGTTCTTCACGTTGTATAAAATGGAAAAACTCCTCACTATTTGGCTCAGGATTTTATCATAATTCAAAAAAAAGAAAAAGCTATAGAGGCTGATAAGCAAATTAAGAATATAACTTTTATTTGATGTGCTTTATGTATTTTTTCGATGTTATATGCTAAAGTCCATCTTCAGAATAAGCGGCTCTCGGCTTGAAGCTTAACAATTATGTCGATCATGATGATATGAAGAAATGCTGCTATTTTATTTGATGAAAGAAAATTGAAATCCAGACGACGACTCTTAAGACTAAATAGCATTGGGTGTTCTTGAAATCAGATATGCCAAAGGGCAGTGAATAGAATTGGAAACCACACAGTGAGTAAGGCCGACACGACTGCGACTATAAGGCTCAAAGTTATCAGCCATTACTTTCGCTACTTAGCCAAGTTTATTCCGCCACCTACATTTACTCGAAGTAATAAAACGCTCGGCTAAAATTAAAATCAAAATTCATGCCAAGTAGGAGTATCGTAAGAACTTAATGACTAACCGAAAGTCCATAATGGTTTATTAAGTGATTCACTTGACTTTGCGATAAATCGTGATTTCTGCAATTCATGTAAAATAATGAAAACAAGTCGGACAGCACGACAGCGGGAGAGTGTGGCCAGCAAGTTCCGTTGGCCCAGATGTCAAAAATCAGCGGCATGCGTTCAAAAGAGGCAGCCATAAAAAATGTATAGACATTATATACAAGTGCCCGACCTGACCACAAAGTGCACTACGGTTAGGTTCGGTTCTGTTCGGTTCGGTTTGGTTTGGTTTGCGTGCAAACGCTTTATAATCGTTGCATAATTTATTAATTTAATTAGTCAGAATTAATGCGACAATAACAACAGTGGTGCTCACCTGTAATTGCGTTAATCTTTCATTCCCTACTTCTGATTGTTTTTTATTTCTGTTTTTAGTTTCATTTTACTACAGTTTTGTTATGACCTTTTCGGTTTGGCTTAGTGCGTTAAAATGCTTTTGAAATTCCACTGCCACCGAGCCAAAGGCAAACGTTCCCAGTAAAGCAGTTTTGCGGGTTTAATTGTGCAAAGTAATGCGGTCACATTTACTAGTTTTGTTGCTCACTTTCGACGTGGTAGCTGTTGTTGTTGTTGTTGTTGTTGTAGTTGTACTTGCGCTCATTGTTGCGGTAAGCAGAAAGGTTAAGTGTGAGCTTAAAGCATGTAATTACAATTCATTAAATCATTTAATAACTAGCTAGTTGCAAATCTCGGCTCAGACGACCTAATCAAGCATTTCAAAGTTGAAGGACCCGCTATCTATTGACTGGTGTATCAACGAACTTTGGCACCAGCGAAAACAGTAGCTGTAGCAAAAGTACTAGTAGTAGTAGTAGTAGCAACAAACAAAGCCCGATTGAACAGGTTCAAAAAACCTAAAAACCTACAAAAAATATCGACACTACAGTCAAGGCATTGACAGTAATGTACGATGGCTTGAATTGAAATTTTATGTCACACAACTCCACGATACAAAAGTGAAATTCAAATTAAATTTTACGATTATTCATTAAATTCATTTAAGTGCAACCCATAAATGCAAATATGCAACACACCTTTCTCAAATTTGAATATAAATAAAGGAACTTTGAGACAAAACAATTTTTGTAATGTTTTAAAATCCAACATCAAAATACTCTTACTTGATATTCAAATATTAAACATAAAAAACGATTAGTATTGATTTTTCCAAGCTAAGTACAAGTAGTTGAAAAATAACTTGTGCACGCATCAAGTCTCAGTACTTATGAAACATTCATTCTCCTGTTTAATATAAGCTTACTAAAGTAAATATATATTCATAAACAAATTGTCTTAATTTCAAAAGACGTATCAGGGTTCGGGTTCAAACTCGGAACGTTAAAAAATGACTAAAGAGGGTATAAATAAATAATTTTGATGTGGGACAAAAACGAATTCGTAAAACTATGAATATTAATGCCTGTTGTGTTCACCCACTTTGAAAGCAAAACCGGACCACTGTGCGACGCAGACAGCGCAGCTGACGGACCGTCTTACTACAACTTAAGCTGAGTTTGCATTTAAAGCGTCGCAGCAGCAGCAGCTGCTGTTACTAAATTTTCTGCGGCGGTTACTGCTGCTGCTGCTGCTGACCTTGGGCTTCATAAATCGAATTGGAGCAGGTCGTTGACGATAAAGTTTTTAAAGAAATCATGGCGCGTTGTTGTTGCTCTGATGCGGTGGCATTTACTGAAATCCCTTGCCCGCAAAACCGGTGTGGAGCGTAAGTTGAATGGGAATTCTAGAGTGCAGTGCATTTTAGAGATTTTCTTTTCATTTTGCTGACATCCTTGAAATTGAGCTGCAATTTGCATGTATTTTCGCTTATTTACATTGTAATGCGACTTGTAGTTACCTGTTCTTTGCGATTTCTTATTGTTGTTGCTGTTGTTATTGCAATCGCAGGTGGTGCTTCGATCGTTGTTTACTTGTTAGGTTTCTAGTATTCTTCTATTTTGAGTAAATTGCACACTTCACTGGCACTGGACGGCAGCAAATTGTAAATAAAGACATAAAATAAAAAAACGTTGATTTTATTTTTCCTTGCGGCCACACACAATTATATTATATTTTTCTAACTAACTTTGCTTGTTTTATGTGTACGTGTGTATGTGCCCGTGTGTTTGCAAAGCCACAATACAAAATCTAAAAGAACACGTTTACTTTTGGTATGTTTTATTTATTATTTTCAACCAGTTTTTTTTTTGGTTGCGGCTACAGAGAGCAGCGGTCGCAGCAGCAGCAGCAGCAGCAACAACAACCACAACAGCTTTACAAAAATGTGTGATTGAGCAAAGATTGAACACGCGGACGCACACAAATGCAGAGAAGTAATTACAGCGACAGACGGAGTCAGGGTAAAGACACAATTTGCTGCTGAAATGGCAAAACTGAAGACTCAGGCAGACGGTATGGTGCGCATGCGAAATCTGAGCATTACTTTGCCATTATGTTGTTGCTTCGGCTGTGCTAGTGTTGTTGCTACTATCGCTTTGCCTTGATTTGTATCGTTCCCTCGTGCAATTAGACAAAAAGCCAAACTAGACAATAAGCCATAAGCCATACAAACACGCACACGCACACACACACACACACACACACACACACAGTACCCACTTGGTATTTAGGCACTCGTATTTACCGCAGTCGTGATTCAATGACAACAAATTTTGCCAACGTGTTCTAATTTTTCGCCAACTTTTGCACTTTTATTTGCCTCGCATTACAAAACCGCCGACATTTATTTTATCCGCACCTGATCTCTTCTCCCCACTATACGTTCTCAAGCGCGCACCGGTTGTTGTCCGAGACACAAGCTAAAATCAACTGAACGCTTCAATGCTGAACCGAAAGATCGCAGTCCAACTAGAGAAGCATCGATTGCAGCAGCGACGTCTGCGACGTCTGCGTCGACGCTGACTTCGGCATCAATGTTCAATGTGCCCCGCGCCTCTTTCTCTAGAGTTGTCTAAACAGCCCGTCTAAAAGATCAAATATGTAGTAAGTGGTCCACCTTTGCTTGCCGCTGCTACCACGCTTCACCTGGGAACAGCTGAGGAGGCACACATAGAAGCAAAAACTAGAGAGCTAAATACTAGAAGCTTGAGCGCAAGAGAGCGGCTCCAGCTGTTCGTAAAGCACTGTTGCTGTTAAAGCCAAGCTTTACGCTTGGTTGCTGTCCCAGCTAAGCTGGCTTGCAGTAAATAGCGATGGACAAAATTGTTTTGTAATGATCACATATGCCGTCACATTAAATAATCTTATTATAGCCATTTAGCTTTCCGAGTCTGTTTTTGAAAGCTTTATGTGTAAATGTAAATATATTTTCAAGGTATTATCTCTAATTTATTATTTTTGTTCACGCAAGTACATTTTTTTATAAAATATACTAAATTAATGTACAATATTAAATATGTAGTTTACCTATTATACTTGTAAATCCGAGTAAACAGTAAGGTTAATTATTATACTATCGTTATCTGAGAAACTCAAGTGCATTGATTTGTTTTAACTGAAGATTTATTTCGTATTAATTCATTTAACTAGTCAATCAGAAAGGGAGCACTAAGAGTTGGCTATCCCCCCCCCCCCCCCCACACACACACACACAATTATTACAATTTAAGCTAAGGTATCGATAACGCAATTAATATTTTAACTTTTTGTGGGGCTTGAATAATTTTACAGTCGGACAGTTTACAGGACGGACAGTTACCCTGTACCCGTTGGGTAAAAAGGATCGCCGACCCCATAAAGTATATATATTCTGAATCAGCATGACGAGAGAAATCGATCTAGACATGTCCGTCCGTCAGTCTGTCCGTCCGTCTGGATGAACGCAAGGATCTCAGAAGCTATAAAAGGTGGAATAACCAAAGTTGGCATCCAGATTCTCCTAGGTCCGAGGAAGGACGAGTTTATTTTATTTTTTGGAATTCCCGTTAGCGTTCTCTCTTGTTACCCTACGGGTACAGGGTATAAAAAACGAAAATAATTATTCATATACAAAGATACTTTACCTTAAAATCTTTTATCTATGTGTATTCGACCGACTTTAACAAAATGTTGATTAAATAGGCGACGCCACAAAAATAGACCGGCATGAGTTCGTCTAAAACTTTAAAGAAACATGTGTATTTTTAAAGTTGACTTTGACTTTGCCTCGAGTGTGCTTGCAGACCAAGGTGCCATCTAATTCCTCTTCTCCCCATGGAGACCCTTCACATTTTCATGTTCAATCTATGTTTATTATATATGCTTACAAATAAACTTAAATAAAAACAAGAGAGAACGCTACAGTCGAGCAAGCCCGACAGTGTAATACCCTGTACCCATGTAAACTTCCGTCACTGAGTTAAATGCGCCCATAGCAGCAGCAAAAAGAGGAAGAAGAAGAGCGAACTTGTTGCTGCAGTTTGTGGGGGTTGTACTGTAGAGAATTTGTTTTGCTAATAACCTTTCTTAGAATTGACCGAATTGAATAAAATTTTATACAACAGTAGACAATTATATATAAATTATGTGTGCAAAGTTTGGTTTAGGTAGCATTTGAAATGTTGACGCTATTGACGCTAAATTCTGTAGCGGGGGAAGGGGGGGAAAATTCCAAAAAATAAAATAAACTCGTCCTTTCTCGGACCTAGGAAAATCTGGATGCCAACTTTGGTTATTCTAGCTTTTATAGTTTCTGAGATCCTCGCGTTCATCCAGACGGACAGACGGACGGACGGACGGACATGTCTAGATCGATTTCTCTCGTCATGCTGATTCAGAATATATATACTTTATGGGGTGGGAGATGCTTCCTTCTGCATGTTACATACTTTGCACAAACCTAATATACCCTTTTTACCCTACGGGTACAGGGTATAAAAATACGAATTGCGGGGGAGTGGGGGGGGGGGGGGGGTGTATCAGAAAAAATAAACAAACTCGTTCTGCCTAGGGCTTATAGGAACCTTGATACCAATTTTGGTTATCCTAGCTCTTGTACTTACTGAGATCCTTGCGCTCATACATACAGACGGACAGACGGACATGGCTATATCGACTCGTCTTCTCATCCTGATCAAGAATATATATACTTTGTGGGGTCTGCCACGCCTCCTTCTGTGTGTTACATACATGCGCACAAAACTAGTATAGCCCTTCACCCTTTGGGTACAGGCTATAAAAACTAACTCATAATTTGACGACATCCTGTGAAGTGCACCAAGACCTCGTTACAATATATTGGGCCGACTGCATAATTTTTTTGTGAAAATCAACTCCATTTAGCTTGATAGTTTTGGAGCCATTGTTTATGTTGCAAAAACTGCATTTCTTGAAATTGCTAGTCAAATATAAATAGTTTTGTACACCTTCTACCAATATATATACGTGTATTTGGATGGAACAGTCGACCATTTTTTCCCTTAAAAAAACGAACATATCATCACCTATTTTTGAAATAACTCTTAAACTCAAAGCCTAAAATTTTAGTGAAGGTAGAACAATAAAAACCATCTTAACCTAACCTAAGCATGGTTCCTTGATAAACGTTCATTTACAGCCTCACTTACTTGTATATCGAATAACTATAAATACTCAATTGAGTATGTAGAAAATGAATAGCAAATTAATTAATGTTTTACAAACTACAGGACATTCAACAAATTTGCATTGACGGGAGAATAAATGTTGCCGACCGCTGTCCAGTTCTTTTATTGTTTTATTGTCCTATTCGTGCGCATATTCCATTGTGACCATTTCACATTTAACGCACTTTGTTTACTTACTTAAATGGCAATGTCATCAATTTATTTAACAAATGGGGAGCGCTTTGCAAATCAAACAACAATAACAAATAGCTGCTTTGTTTGTTATTACAGATTATTTTGTTGTTGTTGTTTCTGCTGCGAGTTATTTTATACAAATGGCTCTCCCTTATCTGGCTCGCACATTTGGCAGCGTGGAGCGGCGCAACTATTTTCCGGCAATTATCTGTAAGCTGTGGTACATACATACATCATAGTAATGCACACACACACACACAGACACATTCGTGCATACCGTTTTGAGTATATACTTATATGCATTGTGGCTTGCATTATAATAACCGATTTGCGTGCTTAACGGACATAAGCGCGCCACACAATGAGGGGCCACCACCAACGCCAACCCCCACCGCCAGCACCACCGCCAACGCCACCGCGAACTTAGACTCTGATTGCTGACTGCTTCTGATTTTGTTGTATTTGTTGTTGCGTTTTTTGTGGTATTTGTGAAGCGCATTATGAGAAATAATATTATCATTTATTGAGTCGTTATTTTGCTCGCTTTTTGTGTGCAGTTGATTGTTGCACGTTACTCCACTGTGACTTCAATGACTGACATAAATAATAAAAGGATACTCAAAATACTCTGATCGACTTGCATTTATTTGCTACATCAGTTTGAAGAATACTACGTCCACAACTTAAGAAATGCATTCAAACTATAACCTGTTACGTTCATATTAGATGGAACGTTGTCATGTTACGGTTAAGAAAAACATTTATTTATCTAACTGATTTGATCGATTTTCTTTAATAATTAGCACATTGGCACTTATTCATAAGTATTAAAGTACAAGTATAAAGGGAACTCGAATCAATAGGACTTTGTTTACGGCTACTCCGAATATATTGGACTCCTACTTGGTAAATACTTTTACTATTATCATTTGCTGCGTAACTTTTGAAATACTAACTTTTGAAATACTACTGAAATACTTTCTGACAGCATAATAGTTAATTGTAGAATCCTGATTTTTGTATCCTGCTATTTTATATTAAAAGTAAATGTTACATGTGTTAAGCAATAAATTGTTTGTTTTAGGGTTCTAAAAGGTATATTTGTTTCTTTTTTGTTTGTTATCTAAACTAACTTTATTAGGACTTGGAAAATAGAAATTTGCAGTGTTCCAGCGGTTTGCTATTTGCCAATTTGTCCAAAGAATACATTTCGCTAGAATTAAATTTCTTCAGATTTTTGTTTTTGATGTTTTCAAGACATTGCTTAAATACTCATATTCATGGCATGTAGTCCATGTAGTGGTAAGAGCACAAGCACAATGCACACAAAAGCATTGCCTAAGCGAGAAGGCCGATATTTCATTCAATTGAAAGTACTAAGCATTCGGCAGTAATCATAGTAAGTACTGCAAAGTGGAGAAAGGGGATAAATTGCGCAAATCACTACGAAAATTAAAGCTATGCCTCGGCTGTGAGTCGAACTTTTCATTTTGCTGTCCATGCTTTTAATTTTTTCCCTTCATCTTTTTCATTTATTGCAGTTCTTTTTGGCGGAACGCATTATGTGGCGATTTTCTATGATTAAGTATGCCATTTTTTGTGATGATGAACAAGAAGTGAAATGGCAAAAGACCAATAAAAGTGTTTTTATAGTGTAAGCTAGAATATGCCACATCACATGCAAAATTGGGCACATTATAAAGAACACAGTAAGTAAAAAAAAGGAAGCGACAGATGTGGTCAGAGAGTACGAGCAGGTCCTTCTGGAGTTATTGCCAACTGAAACGTGTCCATTTCTACTTCACTTTAATCGCAATAAGCCACCATCAGGCTGTAAGCCATGAACTTTGTCTGCACCTCTGCCCACACCTGGCTCATGGCCATCATAAAAGGCCACTGGCACACGCAGACACTGAAACACTCAACTCCACTCAAACTTGACCTACTATACGTGCACAGCCTGGCCTGCGACCTGTTGAAATAATTTTTTCACAGCTTGCTTTTGGGGGTCAGAAACAACGCGA